AAAGAGATCCTGAGCCGTTGGATTGGCCTGGACAGACGGCTCAGATTGATTTGCCTGAAACGGCGTCGTTTCAGGAGGTGCCTGGGCAGGCCTGGACTTGGACTGGGTCTGAGTGCTGGTTTGGGCCTGTTTTTGCTTCATTTCTTTTGGGCCCAAACCGATTTTCCTTCACTCTTTTGCTTTTTTTTTCTTTTAAACAAAAAATGAGATAATAATAAAATAGTGAAATTAAAATCAACAACACTGTAACATTTCCACATAATTATCACAAAAAATATTTAAGTAAGTTAAATCACAACCTAGAACGAACGACGCACATATATTTATATTTTTTGAATTTTCTTTTAACGACACATATTTTTTGTATTTTTGTTTGATAATGACTAGATGCAAAATGGACAGACCCACAAACGACTAACAACACATGTCACGGAAAAAATCGAAAAATTGTACAGCGAAATCATTTGTCACTATTTTTATTTTTTCGTTTTCCTTTTTGGAGTGATTGCTCGTGAAGCAAAAATCACGTGCTTACAGTAGGTAGACCTTTACATATTGATCTTGCTACTCAAAATGGCACAAGACCTAGTTGTGCTAAGGTTAAGGTGGAGGTGAATCTTCTTGCAATATTGCCTCAAAGAATTAAGATTATTGAGGAGGCTGATGAGACTGGTCCTGAAGAGTCTAAATGGATCAAGATAAGGTATGATTACATGCCTAAATATTGCAAGACATGTAAGAAACAAGGGCACAAGGAGGAGGAATGCTGGGTAGTTCATCCAGAACTACATAAAAATTTTGATGGTGATGTCAAGGATCAAGGCAAGGAGAGGGAGGTGCTGGTAAGTACTGATGTAGTTGGAACTGCTGCCAATAAGTCTAAGGTGTTATCAAGTGGAAAGGTAGTTGGGAAACCTACTACTAATCAAGCAAAGCAAGAATGGATGCAGGCAAGGAAGAACAAGTACCAAAGAGATAAGAGGGGACACATTATTGAAGACAAAACTGGAAAAGAGGTGGACAAAGGGAAAGGTAAGACCAAGACTGAAGAAGTTGCAACTATGAATAAGTTTAATGCACTAGAGGAAGAGGAGGTTCTGAATCCTCCTTTACAAATCACGGAGGGCAAGGGAGAAGATCATAGCAATGGTAAGAAGATGGAACAATTTGAAAGGCAATCCAAGGAGGTACAGGAGAAGGCAAAGGAATTTAAGGAAAGAAATCCGAATCCTAATCCTAATTCTACTGGGAATAGGACAACTGAGCAGGAATTAATACGCGTGAAGAAGGAAGCAGTTGAGGATGCTTTGGAAAAAGCTGGCAATCCTAGTCCAAGTGGGATTCTATCATCTTCACCTAAAGGAGTTCATGAATTGGTTGATTCTACTAGAATTAACAAGGAGTCGACTATAGACTAGGTGCATAGGAGATTTGGTACTAGTAAAGAGGAGTTAATGCAGCTGAATGTTACTACAAATCATTCTTGCCAAGATATTCCATCACAAACATATGGTGATTCTGGGCAATAAGAGGAATGTAATGAGGTTAACTCTACAAAGTTATCATGGGGAGAAGAGGTTGAGGCTATGGATGATCAAAAGAGTGTAACAAAGGTAATGGAAGACAAAGAAGAAAAGGATAGCACTCAATTGCAAAAAACTGTCAAAATTGTTGATGCTACAGTAAACCCTAGCAGTGCACAAACTAGGGTTGACTGTAACTCAAGCCTTATAGATTAAAAATTGGGAAAATCAATTGGAGGAGATGCAACAACACTTAAGGGAGCTGGGGATCAAGGAGCAAAAAGAACACTAATGGAACAGTAAACCCTAGTGAAACTGGGGAGATCTTGGCATTTGTTGATGGGGTTCCGGTGTATGCTTTGGAGAAAGAACTTGATGACAATGTTCCTAATGAATTAAGGAAGGATACAGTGTGCCAGGAGCAACAAACAGTTCATGGGAAGGTGCCTGATCCCAATGGAATAGTAAATTCTGGTTGTCTTGCTACAGTAACTCCAGACCTGGGATCTGTGTATGCACTTCAATTCAAATTGATGCAGGCTAATTTGGAGACTATGGGGAAGAATTTAGAGCAACATGGAGCAGAACTAATTCCTTTTGAACCAGCTGAGCATGACATTGTTTCAAATGAGGTAGGGGAGCTGGAAACATAACCAGTGGCATGTGCTTCAGGAACTGGATCACCAATGCAGATCCAAATTAATGTGCCATTGAGGACTCCAAATCAGGTACTTCATGACATCATTACACACAAGGAGTTGCCAGATGATATTCAGAACAATTTGATTGACCAACAATTGCAATATAAGGGAGAAGAAGATGATGAATCAACAGTTGAGAACTTTAAGGCTGTATCTAGGGAAGGGGATTTATCTCCAAAATCAGCAGGTAAAAGTGGAAGGAAAGGGAAGAAAAATCAACCTAAAGAACCATCGCAACCTACAAGAATACTGCCTAGAAGGGCAGCCTCAGGAGTTTCAAGATGATGATCAAAACTCTTATATGGAATATAAGGTCTGTCAAAACTCAGCAGGCCTTTCAAAGGGTTATAAATATGCAGAAGGAACATGGATTTTTCATTGTTGCACTTATGGAGCCTCTGCAAAAGAAGAGATTTATTCAGAAATATAGAAGAAGATTGGGAATGGAAGCTGCAATATCAAATATTAATGGAAAGATCTGGTTGTTCATTGATGCCATGGTGGAATCGGATTTACTAATTGACACTGAGCAACAGATGACCATCAGAGTGTATCATAGAGAGCTTGGTAAGTACATTATGATGACCTATGTCTATGCTAAAGGCTGTGCATTAGAAAGGTTATAATTATGGGATAATTTGTATTATTTGGCTAGTGATATGGAATTGCCTTGGTTAGTTGGAGGAGATTTCAATGTTGTTCTTGGAGAGAAGGAGAAGATAGGGGGTTGCCAGTCTATCCACCAGAGTATAAAGACTTTTCCTTTTGTGTCAATTCATGTGGACTGTTTGATTGGGGTATAAAGGGAGTCCTTTTACTTTGTGGAATGGAAGTCCTAATGAGGAGTGCATTTTTAAAAGATTGGATAGGATTCTTGTAAATATGCCTTTTCAATCTTTGTTTCCTACAATTAAAGTGGAACATCTCATTAGGACAGGCTCTAATCATGCACCTTTATTAATGAGTTGTGGAGAGGATCCTATGAAGTTTGTTAAGCCATTCAAGTTCTTAAATTTCTGGACAAAACATGAATCATTCTTGGAGGTGGTGAAGCAGAATTGGATTGCTGATTTTATAGGAGATCCTTTTTTGATGTTTAAGCAGAAGTTGAAGAAGGTTAAGATTGCTCTATCAAAATGGAGTAAACTGACCTATGGTGACATTTTTAAACAATTAGCTATTAGGGAGGATGTGGTGAGGATCAAGGAGATGTTGTTTGAGGAGGATCCTTCAACACAGAATAGAATTGTTCTCCAACAGGCCCAAGCTGAACTAAAAAAGTACTTGAGCATTGAGGAACAATACTGGAAGCAAAAAGCAGGAACGACATGGTTTGAAGAGGGAGATAGAAACACAAGGTTCTTTCATAATTGTGTCAATGGGAAGAGGCAAAAGCTGCAGTTGAAAAGAATTCAGAATGGGGATGGTTCTTGGATTGAAGATCAAGAAAAACTAGCTGATGCAGCAGTGGAGNGAAAAACTAGCTGATGCAACAATGGAGTTCTTTCAGAAGCAATTTACCATGGAAGGAGATCCTGCAAGCTTTGACATGCTGAATAATGTACCTTCAATGGTGACAAGGGAGCAAAACTTGGAATTATGCAGATTACCTATTATGGAAGAGGTGAAGAATGCTGTCTTTGCCTTAAGTAGTGAAAGTGTAAGTGGTCCAGATGGTTTTTCTGGCCTATTCTNTACCTATTATGGAAGAGGTGAAGAATGCTGTCTTTGCCTTAAGTAGTGAAAGTGCAAGTGGTCCAGATGGTTTTTCTGGCCTGTTCTTTCCAGCTTTTTGGGAGATTGTGAAGGAGGATATACATACATTGTTAGTGATGTTCTTTGAATGTAATCCTTTACCTAAATCTATAACACACACTAACCTTGTTTTACTGCCCAAAAAACCACAAGTACAAACATTTTCTGACCTTAGGCCTATAAGTTTTAGCAACTTCATAAATAAGGTCTTCTCAAGAGTGGTTCGTGATAGACTTGAAAGGATTCTTCCTTCATTAATCTCAGCAAACCAGTCAGGCTTTGTTAAAGGAATAATATATTTGAGAATATCTTGTTGACTCAGGAGATTGTTACTGACATAAGATTGAGAGGGAAGCCTGCTAATGTATTGATAAAGTTAGACATGGCTAAGGCTTATGATAGGGTGTCTTGGAAATACCTACTGCATGTGTTAAGAAGAATGGGGTTTGCTGAGTGTTTTATCAATATGGTTTGGAACCTTATTTCAAACAACTGGTACTCTATTATAGTGAATGGACAGGCATCTGGATTTTTTCACTCTACAAGAGGTGTGAAGTAAGGAGATCCTCTCTCACTAGCATTATTTATACTATCAGCAAAAGTGTTATCAAGGGCATTGAACAGGTTGTTTGAAGATAGGCAGTTTAGGGAATTTGGCATGCCAAAATGGTCAGATCCTTTGAATCACTTAGCCTATGCAGATGACACTATCATATTTGCATCAGCAGATCCTTATTCACTTTAGAAGGTTATTGATGTATTGACATCGTATGAAAGAACTTCAGGCCAGATGATCAACAAGACAAAGAGCTCCTTCTATATGCATACAAAGGTGCCTGGTGTTTTGGTGGACTCAGTAGCTGCAATCACAGGTTTTTCAAAAGGAAGTTTTCCATTTACCTACCTTGGATGTCCTATCTTTTACGCTAGAAGAAGGAAGAAATATTATAATGATCTGATTCAAAAGGTTAAGGCAATGCTCCACTCATGGAAAGACAAACTACTTTCTTATGGAGGCAAGGCTACATTGATTTCTAGTGTTTTGCAAAGCATTCCTACACATGTCTTGTTAGTGCTAGACCCTCCTGATAATGTACTGGAACATCTTCACAAAGTATTTGCAAGATTTTTCTGGAGCAATAAGGACGAGGGGAGAAGCAGACATTGGACAAAGTGGCTGAAATTATGTCTTCCTAAGGAGGGGGGAGTAGGTTTCAGATCTTTGTTTGATGTGTCCAAAGCTTTATTTGCCAAACTGTGGTGGAGATTCAGAACATCTAAATCACTATGGTCAAATTTTATGTGGAACAAGTACTGTAAGAAGGAAGTACCTACTGTGGTGCAGTTTAGAAAGGGCTCTCATGTGTGGAAGAAAATGTTAGAAGCTAGNGAAAATGTTAAAAGCTAGAGAAGAGGTGGAGCATGAAATTCTGTGGGAAATGAATAGGGGTTCTACTAATGTATGACATGAAAATTGGACTGGCTTGGGAGCTTTGTATCATGTATTGCCTCCATATTTTCCCATAAATGAAGGTTTGCAAGAGGTGGTTGATTTGAGAACAGAAGATCATTTGGATGATGTACTGTTGAACCAAACATTCCCTGAGGACATTGCTGATCACATTAGACAGGAGATTCAGTTTTATAATAGAGATGAATACTGGGACACTCCTAGGTGGATGCCAACGCCCTCAGGTAAATTTACTGTGAGTAGTGCATGGAGAATAATGAGGCATAGAGAACCTAGCAATCTTGAATTTGCAAAGTTGTGGACCAAATGGTTACCTTTCAAAATTTCCTTTTTCTTGTGGAGAGTATGGAGAGGAAAGGTGCCTACAGATGATATATGGAGAAGAGGGGGTTATATGATAGTGTCAAAGTGCTGGTGCTGCATACCACCACAGGAGGATTCATTCCAGCATTTGTTCGTAACAAGTGAGACATCAACAAAGGTATGGAAGACATTTTTACAGGATGCAGGTTTGATGACTAATATGGTGCAGGTTCATCAGGTTATAAGGGAATGGTGGAAGGCAAAATGTTGTCCAAAATTAAGGCCCTTGTTTCAGGCAGCTCCAACAGTAATTCTATGGGAAATTTGGAAGAGAAGGAACACAATCAAGTATGGGGGATCAGTGTCTTGCAGTAGAGTGATTCATGAAGTGAATAAGACCTTGTATTATTTGGCAAAGGTGAGATACCCTTGGCTTCCTGGAATTCCATTGTTATGGCCAGATATGATCAGATTTTTTGAGAGCTATAAGCCAGTTGTGGTTACTAGGAGGGTCACATGGAAATTGCCATTTGAAGGATGGTACAAGTGTAATACAGATGGGGCTTCAAGGGGGAATCCGGGCCCTAGCTCTTGTGGATTTTGTGTTAGGGATCATAGGAGGGACTTGGTGTATGCTAAAGCAAGGGAGATAGGAGAAGCAACCAATATTGTAGTTGAGGCAAAAGCACTGGTGGAAGGTTTGATCTGGTGTGTAGAGAAGCAGCTTCACCCTTTGATATGGAGACAGACTCTTTGGTAATGAAGAAGATAATTGATGATGAGTGGGAGACTCCATGGAGTATAGGTGCATAAGTGAGGAGGATTAAGGAGATCAAGGAGTCATATAATGTGCTTTTCCAACATGTGATGAGGGAGGGCAACAAAGTGGCATATTATTTAGCTAACCTTGTTTTCTCTTTTGCAGGTACAATCATATTTCATTCTTTCCAGGAGTTACCATCTGAAGGAAAAGCTATAATCAACATGGACAAAGCTCAAGTTCCTAACCTTAGAGTTAGGATTGCCAAAAGGAGAGAACCTGACTGATGAGCACAATATTAGTATATATGTCTCAACCTCTTCATAAGTATTTTTGGACTTTGTTGAATGGTTACTCAGACGTATTAGCATGGTTTCATGCTCATTCTGGGGACTACTTAGCAGGGTACAGAATGCTTTATATGCAGGTTGTGGTAGGGAATTGGGAAGCTCTTATTAATGGTCACAATTTGGAATATATGAGGAACAGTTGTGTTGTTGTTTGCACAACAATTTTCGTGGTCAGTCTGCTGATGATTCTGGGCAGTTTAAAGATGTGGAAAGTAGTTATATATCATTGGAATTCTAGTGTAATCCCTGATGGTCCAATACATATACACTCAGTGGTATATGCTGATTTGCAGGATAGATTCAGTTGGTTTGTGCTTTGCATAGCCATCTTTTTAATTCTACTGTTAGCATTGTGCATGTTTATTATGCAATAAATGATACTTTGGCTATTCTAGACATCAAGTGTAGTAAATGAGACCACAATACATATGATGGAAGCTGTAGCTTTTCGATGGCATTTACAGTCATGTTTTTTGAATCTCCAGATATGGATTTGGCTTCAGATTTGGTCTGTTATAGCTTGTGTACTGTTTTATCATTTTTAGTGGTATTAGTGTGTTTACACACTCATTCTGATGATGATACTGCAGTAGGCAAGGTAAATATGATATGGAAGCATTTGAGGAACGTAATTCATGTTCTTGATTGGTTTAGTAGAGTGTTGAGTTCAAACTGTTTGTGTTATGGTTTGGTATTCAATTTGGTCTTTGGAATTCATACTTTGGCACCTGGTGAGAGTTTAATAGGTGCTTCTTGGTATTTTCCATTGCCATTTGGATTCACATACATGGACAGGAGATGGGCTGATGCTGCAAGACATGATGTAATAGCTAGTGTAGTAGTTTCATATTTTCTATCTTTAGTAGTAGCTAGTAGCTTCATACATTTTATATGGTCATTTGGACACATTGTATGTTTTGGACCCATTTCTGGGATTTTATTTATATATTAGCTACTAGGCAGTCTGCCTAGTGGAATATTTGCTTAAAAAAAGCACAATGACCTAAAGAGGAAATGTCGTGTAACAACAGTCTCGCAACAACATTGTAAGCACTCCAACGGAAAGTGGCACCTACCGTGGCAAATGAACGGGAAATAAAAATTAAAGTAATATTCAAGATCATATGAGTTGCACGAAACTCTAGCATGTGTGGGCACTAAGATAAGCTAAGTATTGACGCAACAAGGGGCGGAAATACCAAGAAAAGTAATAGCTTACATTGAAATAAAGCAAAGATGGAACAAAATAAATTATTCGATCAATGATCCAGAGTTGGTTATGTTATGAACGCACTTAAGGGTTTGGAGTTTTATACACACAACATATACGGTTGTAGAAGATTCGGGTATACATTAAAAGAAAGAATTGAGCCCAGGTCATAAATGAAGGATTGAATTGTTAAAGTATTGTACCATGCATATTCCTCGGCGCCCATGAAAGTCTAAACAGAATAACTAATACCATGAACCCCATATCGGGAGATAACTTAAGCCGACATAAAGGCCGACCAGAAGAAGGAGTAAACTAAAGAGTAACATCAATGAAGTAAATAAGGAATCCGATTATTGGACCCAGAAGTTATAGGAATCATGATTGAGAACATAGAAGAATCACTCTTAATATTAGAGGTGCAAGTATTATAATAGAGCTTCAATTTATGAACGTGAATTATACCTATATGGAAGGGAGGTCATGAAAGAGATAGAAGATACAATGCAAGATTTTAAGGTAAGAAAGGTAAAGGGAAACAACATACAAGATACTCAAATGCAGAAGGTTGGGAATAGTCCATACTGCAGATAAAATGCTAGAAGCTCTAGGATTCAGTATCCAGGAATGATAGCAGCA